GGGGGGGGGGGGGGGGGGGCGGAGTGCAGAACACGAAGTTCTTAAGCAATGTTGAAGGCAGGGTTTTTATCTTAGGTGGTTTGCCCCGGACCTGAGACAAGGTGTGAGTGCCGGCAGTTTATTTGGCAGGTAGGGGATGTGGAAGTCAGACAGAGGAGGGATGGAAAACAAAACAGTGCATCGATGAGCAGATTACGTTGGGAGTCTTCTGGGGAACTCCGGAAGATTGTGTACAAACGACGTACATGTTGTCTCACCCACCGGTGATGAAGCCGAGATATTTATATAGCATCTCCCCTTCCGCATTATGTAAGAGCTACTCCAGGAGGGAGAAAGCCCCAGCACTTGTAGCCCTGCCTCATGGGTGGGTCTCAGGCAGCGGTTGCAGGTGCATGCAGTCAGCCAGCAGTCTGAGGGCCGGCCCGGGGCTCACTCGGGAGAGTACGGTGCTGATAACACCAAGGCCACGGGTTCGGATCTCTATATAGGGATGGCCGGTTAGCTCACTTGGGAGAGCGTGGTGCTGACAACACCAAGTCAAGGGTTAAGATCCCCTTACCGGTCATCTTTAAAAAAAAAAATAAAAAAAATTTTTAAAAAAGCCAGCGGTCTGCATGTGCAAATGGTGAGTGCCCAGGGGAAGTGGAGGGGTACAGGCAGCATTCGCTAGAGTCCTGTCTGGGCCTATATAATTGTCAAAACTCATTAAAATGAACATTTATGATTTGTGCATTTATTATATGAAAATTATACTTTAAGTTTTAAAAGAAAAAGCAGAGTGTTTAGAGTATTGAGTGACAATGTGGCCAGGGAACAGAGAGGGGTGTGAAGGGGACTTCATTATAGTCTGTGGAAAGATGGGACCCTGCCAAGGCTATCATCAGCACTTATGGCTTATGATAGTGCGCCTTCTACGCAGGGAATTTGAGAAAGGAGCCTCTGGGCAAACTTAGCTCCAAGGATTTGTGGCTTGGCAAACTAAAGGCTCTGGGCTAACCTAGCCTGCACTGACCATCAGCTCTCACTCGCTCCCTTGGCCTGATGCCTATAGGTCAAAGCCTGTAGAACCAGATGTGGTGGCCCTGGACACTGTCATCATTCAAAGGGATAAAGGGCCCAAATTTGGCTCTTCCTTGCCCTGGAGCATAAAGTACCCTGCTCTGGCCAAGTATAAATAGGTCTTTGCCCTTGAACAAGTGGTGACTGCTCTGGATCTAGGTGGGTTATGATTGTCCCCTGGATCCTGAGAGTACCCTGGCAGGAGCAGAGACCACACCCCATCCTGTCCTGAGGATGTGTGTGTGAGGGTGGAAAGCACAGGGGAATGGGTGAAACAAATTTTAATGCCAAAGTTAAAAATTATAACTCTCATAGGTATTCGAAGATTCTTATTAATGATGGAACTAGCAAAATTGGAAACTTAGTTCAAAGTAAACAAGTATATATGTAGTTAGGAAAAACAAATATTGGAATAAGATTGCAAAGTTAGATACAAAACCATTTAGTATCCTGCAGGACACTAAAACCATACCTTTAAGGTTATCTTTTCTGCACAAAATCAATTTGCATCTATAGCAGGTAAATATATGAAAAAGTATCAATCATCTGCAAGTTAACATCTATCTTTACACAATCTGGATCCTAATCAATGTAAAGAGTCACTCAAACAAAGGTACATTCCACTAGAGCAATGGGTTCTCAACCTGAGACCATTTTAATCCCCAGGGGACATTTGGCAATCTTTGGAGACAATTTTGATTGTCACAATGTTGGGGGGAGAATGCTACTGGTATCTAGTGGGTAGAGGCCAAAGGTGCTCCCAACCATTCTATAGTACAGAGGAGAGCCCTCTACAATAAAGAATTATCTGGCCCAAAATATGAATAGTGCTGACTTTGGGAAACCTTTCTCTAGAATGGTTTGTTATCTTGGATGGTCTTGTCAGACCATGCTCTAAGTAAGACTTTGTAAAGGCACACAGGATAACACAGTAATTTTTTTCCCTTACTTCCTAGTTTTTGATAATTTTTCTTTACACAAAATTGGAAAAATGTTGATAATTGTTGAATCTGAGTAATGAATACATGGTGATTTATTTAGTTTTTTTTTCTCTATTTTTATGTGGGTTTTTTTTTCTATATTAAAAGGTGAAAAGAAGAAAAAAAAACAAAAACTTAGTATGTTTTGGTCTGTTTGCTTGTGGTCAATGCCATGTACAAGTGACCAAAGCCAAAAATCATAATTCTGATTTGATTTTCCTGGGGTACAGCCCTTTTTTTCCTTTTTTTTTTCTTTTTAAAATTCACCAGGTATAGGAACTTGTGGACTCACAACCCGAGTCAATTAAGGAACCTTACACTATGAACTTGGTTTGAGATGGGCTGGACCATTAACACCTGGCAGGAGCAAATGAGAATCCACTCTGGAGGAGGGCATATCTATCTTACGCCTCAGGGAGACTTCACAAATAATTTTTCAAGGACAATGGCCAGCAAATTCACAAATAACCAGCCATGCAAAGGAACAGAACCACATGAGTGAGACCCAGTAGAAATAATAGTATAAGCAGGTCCATCTAAACAATAGCTTTGAACTAGGGATGTTGCTTTGGTTTGGGTTCAGGGCCAGGGAGT